AGGGGGACGAAGAAGAAGAAGAAGAAAAGAAGAAGAAAAATCAGGGAGGAAAATCGCTGAAATAACTGAGTCTTTTCACAGAAGATGTGGTGTAAGAGAACTATATAAAAATAATCCCCCATTAGTTTATCTGTCATAATATATACTGTATTTTGGTCTGTGTTATCTGTGTAGTATTTCTTATATATTGATCAGTCTTCAGTACTACTTTATAATATTCTAATTATCCTTGAAGTTTGTGGAATGCTATTAAAATGGACGTATAGTACGCACTATGAACCTGTCAAGATTTTGATTTGAGCTTAGAGATTTGCCCCTTTTTTCACTTTGAACACCATGACTAAAAGTACTTCACAATAATCCATGACACGAGTTAGAAATTCAAACAATGGAAAAAATGAGGAAAAAGGCAAGAATTGTAATCCAGTGTGGACAGCGGACCTAAAAGTGTGGCTTGACTTAGTTCAATTGACTTGCATGCTTTATACGTTCCTTGGCCTATTAATTGGTTTTCAATCTTTATAAATGAAAATTGTTTATAAGGTCTTATAAATAAATGAATCTGATGCTGGAAAAATAAGAATGGGTGGAAGGAAGGCAGAAAAAGGAGAATTCAAATATGCTGTGTACATGAACCAACCCGTTACAGTGAATGCAATCATTCATTATGTGCTCTAAGCGTGTACTGATCAAAGTAAAAACAGTTCAAAACAAAATGAGACAAGACACCCAGATAAGTACGTAATATTCAAGCTAATAAAGGATATAAGATTTAAATATATCTGACATATTATTTTCAAACAATGAAAACATGGAGGTGCATACATAATCTAGTTTTCTCTTGCAATCACAATCTTGAAAAATAGAAAAGCAACTTTATCCTGGATTTAAATCTACTTCTAATGATATCCCCAAATCAAATGTGTGTACAAGTACAGAGGTAACACACTTAAAATATAGGTAAATCACATAAACAGACATTTCTTCCAAAAAGAAGCAAAAATTCCAAAGGCATAAATGGAAAGACGTGAACATACTTAATCACCATGGAAATGCAAATCAGAATCACAATGAGGATTATCATTCAATTTGAAAACATAGCATAGACAATAACACATGTTGGCAGGGAAATGGAAAATTGGAACCCTTGTGAGGGCAGAATTGTGTAGCTCATAGAGATGACACTATGAAAATTGTTAGAAAATGAAAATAAAATTGCTGTGGAATCCAAGACACTCACTTCCACGTATTTATCCAAAATTTATGTAGAGTGTCATGTTGCTATGACACTACTTAGGACAGCCAAATGTCCATGGACAGGTGAACACTGTGCTGTAAACATCCTAAAAATATTACTTAGGTCTAAAGAAGGAGAGAATTCATTTATTTGTTCCAATATGGATGGACCCGGATGACAGTAGCTAAGGGAAGACACCAGTCACAGAGAGGAAGAGGCTTCCTGACTGCACTGGCATGAGGTGTCCAACGCCGTCAGCTTCCTAAACACAGCAAGAAGAATGGTGGTCCCAGAGGATGAGAGCAGGGAGAAATGGAAAACTGCTGTTGAATGGAGATCAGCTATGCCTCGTGCTCAGTGAATAAACCCTAGATCTTTAGGAATTACTTCTCATGTGTAATTGCGTAATTTGATTGATGCAGTGCCTATATGTAATAGTACAGTAATTCATATAGTAATGAATCATTTTTATCATGTAGATCTTAGAGTAAATGTTCCTATCACAAACAATACTAATGATAAATAAAAAGAGCAGAAGGCAAGTTTTGGAGGTGATGGGTAGGCATAAAGCATTAGAACATGGTGGACATTTCACAGAAATGTACTTTCCTCTGAACTCGTCAAGATATATGTATTATGGGCCAGGGATCTAGCTCAGTTGTTCCGCTGCCTGCCTTGCAAGCACAAGGTCTCGAGTTCAATCCCTGGTACCAAAAATAAATAAATTAATTAAATAAATAAACAAAGATACATGTATTAAATATGCAAGGCTTATCATATGTCACTCCTGCCTCAAATAGATACCAAAGAGAAGAAGTTCTGAAGATGGTTTGTATGATGTTGTGTTCATATTTAGCAATAACGGGCAGCACACTTAAATTTTTGTTGAGGGTAAATATGAGGCTATGTGCTTTCTACCACCTTAAAACCTCAGGTGAAACTGTGATAGCTAACAATTCATTGTTGTAGTTGCCATACTGTGATTCAAAGGCATCTACTCTGTCACCCTACATGAAGAGCTATGAAACCAGGAAGTAGCAGGAGGTGAAGCCACTTCCTTTTAACGGGAACTCATATCGGTGCTAGCAATAAATTTAGACTTGCAGTGCTAAAGAGCTTTAGTAACAGAGTCAAACGATCTCATTTCTTCGCTTTGTCCATTCCAGTTTCGAAGATTTATTACAGATTGAAGTCAGAGTTTCAACCCAAAGTTGCTCCTACATCTGGCCCCTCAGAAAGTAGTCTGTGATATTGACATGAGAATTGCTTACCGAATTTGGTTTCTGCTTCACAGGTTACAAAACAATTATTTCATTGGATTTCAGCCCGGTTGTGATTCTTATACTTCCTTTAGAAACAGAAGGGCCGGAAGGAAGTATTACGTTACATTTAGACGTCATGCAAATTCAGATCTTTTAATGATCTGCCCAACAGCTGGCTCCTTGCAAATTGTTCTTCTATCATGTCTTTCACAACGACTGGTTCTTGTCTAATATTCCTGCACAAGCTACCCTGAATTAGAAGACAGACTTTCAGCTCCTCACACTTATTCCTTCCTCTGAGAAAGTTCTCTGGACAGGATCAAAGACCACAATAGTTCTGAGTGATTTTTCAGTGCAATTTGGCGTTCCAACTTTGACAGAATTTACTTTGACTTGACTGTTTCACAACTCTACGAGGGCAAATATTATCTGCAGCTTTGCATCAGGAAGAGATGTAAGTAAATTATTGCAGGTAGAGTAAATAATAGTCTCCATGTTTATGACTTTTGTCACTATTGGACATTCACTTGATTTATGTAGAGTCCAGAACTCTTAATCTAAAATTTCTTTGTTCGATGTTTCTTTTATGCACTTAACTCGACAAATGCACTTTGAACCGGTAGCGAACTATTAACTAGTTCTTCGCTTAGTAAGTAAGATACAGTAAACCATGTGTATTGAATATTTGTATACGATCAGTGTTTTGTCTTTTTGATAAAACTTAGCATTCCTCTATCATGATCAGGGCTTGAGCTTCACATTTTACCTTTTTCCAACAAATACCCCCAGGTGTGTGCCAGCCTAAGATAACGTCCAGTTCAAAACTTTGCATTGG